ATGTATTCCTCTACATCTGCACATCCTACTTCACTTCCTGCATTTTCAAGTTCTGAAGATGAAGGTCCAACATGTGCTTCATTTAACACAGAGGCCAGAGTTAAGCCAGGATATGCAAATTGTAAGCCTTGTTCTGCAAGTGGTAGGCCTGTGGAAACACAATCCAAGCCTCTGGAAGGATCATATTCAGATAAAGTTTTGCAAACTTGCCCTTCAGGGATTTCTGAAAGTAATACTCAGAATGTCCAGCCAAACCAGAACCAACAAGATGACTCAGCTCTACAACTGAAGCCTTCTGGACTGCCAGTCAAAAAAATGCTTCCAAAACCACTTGAAAAAATTATTGTGCATCTACAGAGTATATTCCCAAACTATAGCAGGTATGGTTTTTGATGGGTATCATGTTATGTTGGATAACAGAAGTTCTGAACAACCCCTGATAAACTGCAAAAAGAACGGGTTTCTTATTAGGTGTCTTCTATTTCACAAGAGTAGCAGTATTGGTTGTGCCCATTTGGTGAGACATTTCTTAAGGGAACAGACCTGTGGTGTTGACTTACATGTTTTGTTTTGTTGTTGTTTTTTCAATTAGAACCACTAGCTAGTAATAGTGTGTTTGGGATTTTTTTATGATTAAGGTAGCTAGATCCTAGTTTGTTCAGAGGTAGTGGAAGCAAGTACTACAGTCCATTTGAGAAGTTAGTACCTTTTAAAGGCTCTACTGCTACAAGTCAAACATGGAAGCTGCAGTGTTCTCTTAAGCTGAGAACTGCCATAGCATTGCCACTCAGTAATTGTCTTTTTTGTCACTTCAGTTCAGACTTGACCAGCTTCATAAAAGACGTACACAGAAGAAATGGGAATACACTGTCAAATTTGAGCTTAGATGAAGTTCTGAGAAGAGTGACAGAACTCATTCTGGACCAGCAGAATCAGGTACTGGTGTGTATGTCATCACTGCCTTTTCTTCTGTGCATCTCTGGCAGAGCAAACAGCAGCACAGTCCAGAAAAGGATGCAAGCTCCCTGTTGCTGTTAAGCTCCAAAATACCAATTTGCTCAAAATTCTTTTCCAATACCTGTCTAGGCACCAACTCCAACAGGGAGGCCTGTGCAGCCAGTATCTGCAGCTTCACCCGTGCAGACTGGGAGTGAGGAAGTGCATGCAGAAGGAAGTGCACCCAGCACACCCAAGGCAGGACCAGCACATAAGAATGCCTCGAGCAAAAATCCATCTCAGCCCAATCTCCAACCATGGGGAAATGTTGGAGCAACATCTAAACTGAAATGGAAAAAACAAGACAATACAGTAAGTTCTTGCTGTTTCAGTGAATGTGAAGTTGCCATGTAATAATCAAATATGACATCACAGAATGACATAATGTTAGGGGTTGGAAGGGATCTCTGAAGATCATCAGATCTTGCCAGAGTGGGGCAGATCACTCAGAAAGGCATCCAGAGAGGTCTTGAAAGTCTCTAGAGAAGGAGACTCCACGACACCTGGGCAGCCTGTTTCAGTGCTCTGTAACCCTCACAGTAAAGTTCTTCTTTATGTTGAGGTGGAACATCCTATGCTTGAATTTGAATCCATTGCCCCATCTTCTATCACAGGGCACAAGTGAAGAGGTGGTTCTTAATGCCTAGACCTCATGTATAGACATTAGATATTCTCTCTGTCTTCTCTCCAGACTGAAAAGCCCCAAGTCTCTAACATGACATGAACTAATCAAAGTACTGCTGGAAAAATAATTTACTTGCTCACGTTCAAAAGCTCAAATATAGCTGTTTAAAACTAGTACCATTAACTTTCTGGAATTTGTTGTTAATTGTTGCTAGCTTGCAAATAACTCGACATTTTATGTATAGGCCTCCAGTGATGATCCTTGCACAATATGTCATGATGAGCTAAACAGAGACCCATGTGAACTAGAATGTGGGCATCGCTTTCACAAAGAAGTAAGGATTTTTGTTCTTTGCTTATGAACTCTGTTCAGTTATGCCATGGTTCCACTTCTGACATGTAAGCCCCCTCCTTGCTTACCCCTCAGTGCTTAAAGAACAGGGCACAGGTTTTTTTACATACTTAGTACACCAAGATGTGCTAAATATATGGTCTTAGAGAAAGTTTCCAGGTTTAGATTTTTAACACGCTATTTCACAATAAACCCTGCATTTGCCACCTGACAGCAGTCACGTGTATAAATCTACATAGAAAGGAAGTCAAAATTATGTTAGAATAACTACTGATACTTCTAACTTAATGATACTTCTGTCTGTGACCTTTTCCCATTACTTGTTTACTGCTGATTTGTTACTGTGGAAGAAGTGTAAATGTAAACTGATCAGCACAGCATCAGAACTGGAGTTTTCTAACTGCAAATCTTTAGAACATAAAGGAAAAGTTCTTACCTGTTAGTAACAATTGATTAATATACTTAAGCTGAACATTTTGTACCAGCCTTTGTTTCCCCAACATTATCTTCTCATTCTTACAGTGCATTAGAACATGGCTGAAGCAACATTCAAGTACCTGCCCTGTGTGCCGTGTTCACGCTCTGTTACCTGAAGACTTTCCTGAGCTTCCTGCACGGAACAAATGCATGTAAACCTTGTTTTAACACTGTGTAATAAGATGCAAAATAATCATGGTGATGAGGAACAGCACAGCTTAACCACTCTGAAAATAGTTTGGATAGAAGCAGTATTCAGTTGATTAAATGAGATTAGTCTAGCTGATTGTAGGGATAGTTTCCCCAAGTAAGTATGTATCTTCCAAATAAAGTTTTAAAGTGTTTTGTGATTCATGAGTATATTTACTATTTGTGAAGTCTGAGGTACTGGTGACTGATCTACTCTGTGCTAGAAAGCTAAGGCACCTTGCTGCCTGAAGAACTTGGTACTGTGCTGCTGAGCCATACAGCACCTGTGTCATTTTCAGCTTCTGTTATTTTTGGGAAAGGGGGTATGTCTGTAGCGTCATCATCTCAGCTTGTCTGTAAAGCAGCCTATGTCACTGGCTTTTCCAAGGAGACTTTTCCAGACCAAAGCTATCCTTGACCTGTAGAGCAGTGGCAAAGCAGTTCCACACATGCTATATTGGACAGTGTTCTCCAAAGAGAACACAGAGTGCCTTGATGGGTTGCCTGGGGCAAGACCTCACTTGCTGTTTATATATTGAACTGGTATTTACATTCACCTGCTTGTTATCAGCCAATTTTATTTTTCCTCTACCCACAGCACACACAGAACCCCAAGTTCCTAAATAAGCAAGATGGTTTTTGATCGCTCTTCCTTTTTCCTGACTCTCACAAGCTGGAAGCATTGTAGTGATTTTCAGAGAGTTCCTTCATACTTAAAAAAAGGAAGCCTTGGTGCAGACACCGCTCCCCTGCTCCAGACCATCATTACACGGGGAAAGGAGCAGGTTCGAGCTGTTCTACGCTGGATGCTGGGCTGGGGACAGGATGAACCCTGGTGCTCTTTCCAAATAACTTTTGACGGTGGGAGGTGACAGTTCTAGTCTGAGCAGCAGGTGGCACTCGTGTAACGGCACATAAACCAGAAAGGTGGTTTTGGTTTAAGAAAAAACATCCTGTATGGTTTCCTGATCTTATAGAGGTGTTATGTTCTAATAAACAACCTTTTTTTTTTTTTTCCCACCACTCTTTTAAGACACTGAAATAAAAATTTCAGATGTTTATTTCTAAAATACGACACAGCACCAGGGCCAAACCTAGAATTACATTTACCTCCATGGCGATAAAGATAATCGAAATTATTTTTTGGCAGTTTTCTTAATTCTGCCTTTTCAGGTTGCCATGTTGACACTTGCACTTTAAAACTTTATGCACTTAGCCTGCCTCCATCCCACATATTGTACTGAACATTCACAATTAAAATTAAACTGGCTGTTTGTTAACATCAAAACCTACACCCAGTTTAGTTTGCAAAGGCTATTTCTTGCTGAAATAGTTTTCTATACATTTTGTTTAAGATGCACATTTACAAACACTTTAATGTATTTACTGCCTTAACTTTCCTGGCATTTACATCTATACTTTACATTGAACAAGGGCAATATTAACCCACCTAATGAAAAAAGGATGACTGGCCTGGCTCCCTTGGAAGGGTTGTTAATACAGTGACAAGTCACACACTGAAGGCAGGAGGTGCCATAGCACAGCAGTTTTCCAGTGCAGTTTTTCCACCACTTTTCTACCCTGCCCTCAGCCTGGGCTGGCTGGTGCTGTTTGGCAGATCAGGCTTTTCCACAGCAAAACTGAGTTCTAAGTCTTATAAAAGGCAAGATGACAATGTAAAAGTAAGTACATCCTCAAGCTAAAACTTCTGACTTGTTGTCTTTTTCTGTGCTATTTTATACAAATAGCAAAGATAAAGGAAGATGCAGTTTTTCTAATCCAGAGAAAACCCCCTACAATGGAGGGAAAAAACAACATCAGTTTAAGCATCCTTCCACTACAGACTCACATTCCAAATATGACCAAAACACACTTGGTGTTATTTCTCATCATCATTCATTGCACATCACTTTTTCATCCTCATCTTGTGATATTTATCCCACACCACCACCTTGCATTGTTGCAGCACCATTTATTACAGCTTCAAAGACACTATTAAGTATTATATTAAGTCCTGTATCCTATCCATACACCACATATAGTGGGACATACTAGGTGTAACAGCTCTTTAAAGGACTTTGGGACAAGTATTACAAAATGAACTAAAGAGAGAAATTTACTACATACTTCTACAAGTTGTAGAAATATACAGAATCATTCCTTCAGCATTTGTCACAGAAAAATGGAGGAAAACATGGCTGTTGAAGTCAGGAGAAAATACCTGACGAGGCTGGCTGGATACATCCATCCACACAGGGTATCAGAAGGCAGGCAGTCTTAGAAAGATCTATAGAGAACTGAAAGCACAAGAACTATGACCAGGGAGAAGGAAATGATGTGTTTTCAGTTAAAGTGAGACATGGATAAATTTTCACTTGGCCTGTGAAGAATTCCATTCTTTTTCAGTAAATCCGTAAGTGATTCTCCTCTGGCTATTTACATCCTGCAGAGCTTCAGTGGGAAGTTCTCTGTGATGAGATGATCATCATGCAGGAGGACAACAATGTTAACTTCAAACTCTGGAAAAAGGGAACATAAAAAAAACTGAGCTCTGTATGAATCTCAATTGTAACAGTAAGATGAGGCAGGCACTTCCTGCCATCAGGCACAGCACTTCACAGGGCTCTTCCAAACCACTTCAACACCCTGGGTTTTCCTGTGGCAGAGGTAAACAAGGTACTCTAGACAGAACCTCAACCACATGCATCCTAGTCCTTTGACCTTTCCTAGAGAACTGTGGCTCATTCTAATCTTGGGGACCTCTGCATTCACTTCCGTATCACTGAAAAACTACAACATACAGTCTTCTTGACAACAGGCAAAGTTCAGACATCTGAGATTAAAATGTTTTGGAGAGATGCCTGACACCAATACACACTGTTCAGAAGCACCTAAAGTGGAAGAGTCAGGGAACAGACTCCACCTGTGCTGTCAGCATATAATGTAGCCTTAGAATCCTGCATTATGTGTGACCTGACACTGAACACCAAAACACCATATACCTGCAAGCTATAAAAAAACATTTTTCACAAGATAATTGATTCTTCAGACATTATATTGTATTGTTCAAAATGAAAATCAGTATCAAGTCTATAATAAATCCTAAATGGAAACAAAATAGAAAGTCAGGTAGAGTTAATAAATGACAGAAGCAGAGATCAAAATAAACTGAGAAAAACTGTGCCTTTTTAAAACAATAAGTATTTTAAGACTTCTTATAAAGTAGTAGATACGACTCTAATAGTCACTGTAGTCATCATTTGTCACTGTAAATTACTATTTAAAGCTAGAAATGACAAAAAACAGACAAGAAGATGGTTTTGGGGAAAATCACAGTATATATCAGGTGCAAAAATGCTCTTGGAGGAACAGATAAACAGGTAAGCAAAACTGAAAAACCAGCTGTACACATTTATCCAAGGTATAGAGCAGCGAAGTGGGAGGGGCTTCAGTAGGGAAGTATCCTAAAGGCAGGGAATTGTAGATTCAAATTTGATACAATAAAGTAAAAAATATAAAAGGAACCAACAGATTCCAGCAGGATGAAGGGCAGAAAAGATGCTAGCAAAGAGAATTTCTGCAGTGATTATTTGAACAAGTGAAGAAAATTGTAAATTTCGGCTGTTTCTGGAAACGGTGGATTTTCGCAACAAAAAGCGGCAAGAAGCAGCTGGTGCTGACCAGGAAAAGCAGAGCCACATACATCCTGACCTTAATTTTTCTACTTCTGAGTCTGGGCAGCAGGAGAATGGGAAACGAAAACAGAAAGAGGAGTTCTAGCTGGTGATGAAAAGGAGGGGATCATGTTGGCATTTTATTCTTGGGCTATTGCTTAAGTGTTTAAGCACAATTTTTTCTCAGAAAAAAAGAAAAATTACCTGCCAATGCACTGCTTCTCCTGTCCCTTTACTATATAATTCTATTAGAAATAGCTTAATAGTTGCACAACTGTTTTTATTTAGAAGTATATGGGCTGTATTTTATCACTCTGTCTGAAACACAGCAGACTACAATCCTATTCAAGAAACCTCTACAAGGAAGCAGATGGATGCCCTTGGTTGTTCTTGCAGTGCTGTCAGTGATTTATCCCGTCCTGCCACAGGCTAAAGTGAAACTAGAAACTTATCTCAGATAAATGAGACCAATACAGCATGAAGTCAGATTCACTTACCAACTTTGAAGTTTGTTGTTTCCAGGGTAGGGCAGGTGAACAACCTGGGAAACACCATGTATATGGGAATCGGGAGGCCTCTGCAGACATCCCCATCAGCAATCTGAATATTCTGTATCTCTGTGGCATCTCTGGCATAACCCTCCGCACACCCTGGTGGAAGTGGGAAATTCAAAGGCAAAGGGGGCAAAGGGAAAG